CTCATCTGATGAATTTGCTTAGAAAGAACTTTTCACAGTATTGTCCCGCAGATCCTAATGCAGATGCTGCCCCCAAGAGGACGATATGAGAAATGACACCGCTATCTCTATTTATGCTAAGCATTCATATATGCATGTACACTATATTGTCAAGAGTATTGGGACACCCCCTACAAATCATTGGATTCAGGTGTTCCAATCACCTCCATGGCCACAGGTGTATAAAATCACGCACCTCGGCATGAAGACGCTTCTACAAACATTTGTGAAAGAATGGGCCACTCTCAGGAACTCAGTGAATTCAAGCGTGGTACCGTAATGGGTTGTCACCTGTGCAATAAGTCCATCCGTGACATTTCCTTGTTACTAAACATTCCGCGGTCACCTGTTAGTGGTATTATAACAAAGTGGAAGCAACTGGGAACAACAGCAACTCAGCCGCAAAGTGGTAGGCCACGTAACATGACAGAGCGGGGTCAGCGCATGCTGAAGCGCACAATGCGCAGAAGTCGCCAACTGTCTGCAGAGTCAATAGCTACAGACCTCCAAACTTCATGCGGCCCTTAATTGGCACAACATTGCGTAGAGAGCTTCATGGAATGGGTTTCCATGGCCGAGCAGCTGCATCCAAGCCTTACATCACCAAGTGCAATGCAAAGCGTGGGATGCCGTGGTGTAAAGCACGCCGCCACTGGACTCTAGAGAAGTGGAGACGTGTTCTCTGGAGTGACCAATCACGCTTCTCTGTCTGGCAATCTGATGGACGTGTCTGGGTTTGCCGGTAGCCAGGAGAACGGTACTCACCTGACTGCATTGTGCCAAGTGTAAAGTTTGGTGGAGGGGGGATTATGGTGTGGGGTTGTTTTTCAGGGGTTGGGCTCCGCCCCTTAGTTCCAGTGAAGGGAACTCTTTACATACCAAGACATTTTGGACAATTTCCTGCTCCCAACATTGTGGGTACAGTTTGGGGATGGCCCCTTCCTGTTCCAACATGACTGCGCATCAGTGCACAAAGCAAGGTCATGACCGAATGCCCAACTTTTCAGAGGGGAGTGACACCAAAATGACTGACAATGGTGTCACATGGATGTGGGCTGAACCCTCCTAGTGACACCACTGATATAGTCCATTCCCCAGGCAAACAGAATTGGCTCCACAGAAAAACAATGGACACTCACAGACGCTCACAGTGTGTATTGAAGGCAGAGTAAGCAATTTCAGTCCAGGAGAGGAGACGGTACAATTGTGCAAGACTGAAGGGAAGGCCGGAGCTTTAATTTCTGGCATGCACATGTGCAACATAAAAATGAGCAGGACACTTCAGTGGCACATTGACCTACAAAATATTCACTTCAACCACCAGAGGGCGACATCTGCTTTGAAATATCTGTCTGGATATAATTTTGCTTCTAAGTATACACAAAGCTTTTCTTTTTTTTGCTAAGATTTACTGCTTACTTCCTATCCTGGGGACAACCTTTTTCCTAGACAGGAAGTGACAGAACTAGATCTGCAACAGAGCCTCAAATGGCAGTAAAACCCAACAGGAGTTCTAATCCTCCCCCACTCTATGCAAAACAAGAAATAAAAAGTTATGGGTATACTTTCACGTGGAACTTTAGCCATTTTTTCAGAAGAATAAACTTTGCATATCTGTTTTACTCTTAAAAAAGAAAATTCTGTCTCCAAATATTTTTTATAGTGTACATGGCCCATGGTGACAATTCATTCCCAGCTTCTGTAAGATGGCGAGAATAGAACCTGAAGCCAGGATGAAATTAAATCACAAGTAGTCTACAAATGGCTTAAAAGGAGTCATGACAAATTAAAAAAAGGGGTGGAGAAGATGGTGGTGTTGGTGTATTGGGCAACGAGGAACAATGCCTCAGCAGGCAATGGGAAGGACAATGCCCCAGTGGTCAATGGGAGGAACAATGCCCCAGTAGTCAGCTGGAGGAACAATACCCCATCGGCCCAGAGGGAGGGACAATGCCCATGTGGTCAGTGGGAGAACAAAGCCCCCCCGTGGTCAGTGGGAGGAACAACACTGGACAGTCAGTGGGAAGAAGAATTCCCCCGTGCTCAGAGGGAGAAACAATTCCCCATCGGCCAGAGTGAGGAACAATGCCCCCGTGGTCAGTGGAAGGAACGATGCCCCCGAGGTCAGTGGAAGGAACGATGCCCCAGAGGTCAGTGGAAGGAACGATGCCCCAGAGGTCAGTGGGAAGAACAACAGTCGGCGGTCAGTGGCAAGAAGAATGCCCCCGTGCTCAGAGGGAGAGAAACAATTACTCACCAGTCAATGGGAGGAACAATGCCCCAGCAGTCAACTAGAGGAACAATTCCCTATCAGCCAGAGAGAGGAACAATGCTCCCGTGATCAGTGTGAGGAAGAATGCCTCAGTGGTCAGTTGGAAGAACAATGCCCATGTGGTCAGTTGGAAGAACAATGCCCATGTGGTCAGTTGGAAGAACAATGCCCATGTGGTCAGTTGGAAGAACAATGCCTATGTGGTCAGTAGGAAGAACAATGCCCATGTGGTCAGTTGGAAGAACAATGCCTATGTGGTCAGTTGGAAGAACAATGCCCATGTGGTCAGATGGAGGAACAATGCCCACGTGGTCAGTTGGAGGAACAATGCCCACGTGGTCAGTGGGAGGAACAAAGCACTTACATTAGAGGTGATTATGAAGAAACTAATGCCTAGCCATTGTTGTCAGTGACGGGAATCCACCATCATTGGTGTCAGTGCGGATGATGAACAGTCACTGCATTGCATACATTAATAAAGGGGGGGCCGGCTGCAGCTGTGCAGAACTTTGGAACGGTTCAGGCCGGCAGATCACACTTACGTGCAGTTACACAGACTTAAGGAACAGGATCCTAGACAAAGGGAGGAGAAACCTCACCGCAAATACCACACTCATCTCCGTCCACCTTAACTCTTAAAGTAAAACTAAAGCCAAAAAGTTTTGATAGTGCAAGAGAGTTATAACCCCTGTCAGCTTCTTTTGTCATCTGTGTCCCATTAGGGAGATTTCCCTTCACTTCCTGTCCAATAGCCACAACAGGAAGTGAGAGAAAAAGTGAGGGAAATCCCTGGTGGTCAGCAGTGTCACCAGAACCAGTGTCCCCATTGGAAGATTTCCCATTTATTCTTGTTTTGGGATTTTATTACACTTTCAGTGATAACGGTCACCTGGACAAGTAGAGGGGGTGGAGCTCCCTAACAGGGACACAGACAGCAATAAAAACAGGACAGGGGTTCTAATTCCTCTCCACTCGATCCAAAAACAAAAGAAAAAAGTTTTGTTTTCAAGATTGCTATTTCAATTTGCAATATCCAATAGCAGCCTTGCTATTGCTAAGCCGCCCTGTGCTGCTGTCAATCAGCAGAGGAGGACCTGATGGAGAACTTCGGGTCCACATCTGCTGATTGACAGCAGCAGTGGGCGGGTGCAATAGCTATTTTGCTATTGGATATTGAAAATTGAAATAGCCAATAGAAGCCTAGCTATTCATTCCTGACTGATGGCGGCCCTGATGTTAGAATGAAGAAAATCAGATATCAGGGAAAGATGTATTCTGCTAGATAGAGCAGAGTAAACCTTTCAGGGAGAAAATTTTTCTCTCCCGGGCGGCCGGGAGCCTCTGTCTTATAGCGGAAGACTCCCGGAATGTCCAGGAGATTTGGAATGTGTTGCATCACGCGCGGTACTGCTGTTACCTGCCAGCGGCCATCTTGGTGATGGTGGCAAGCAGAGAGGAGGGGACTTTCACCCGGTTGGATAAGATATGCCCTCCTCTCTCGAGTAACTGGCGGGCTCTCAGTCCATGACCGACTGCCCGACTTCCCAGAGGGGGGTGACACCAAAATGACTGTCAGTATACGGCATATATATTATACAAATCTCACCCGGATCCCAGTTCTTAGCAGACACTTGGTCTTTTGGAGGTAAAACCTTGCTTCCTGACGACAAGAGTCCTTGCATATGTTATATAGCTCATACTGGAACAGGGGTGTGTTGTATGCTCCATATTGGCAAGGGGCGTCCCGAGGTGGTGCCACCAAAATGACTGACAATGGTGTCACCCTCCAATGGTGTCACCCGGATGAAGGCCGCAACCCCCCCCCCCCCCCCCCGCGCGTGGTCGGCGCTTCCGGTTTATTTTTATCCCCCCCTGACCCCTCACCTTGATTCCCGGGATCCGCTGCCCCATCTTGGATCCCGGGACCGGCTCCGAGGGCGTCAGG